TCCCAGGAGGCGGAGGTTGCGGTGAGCCGAGATCGCGCCATTGCACTCCAGCCTGGGTAACAAGAGCGAAACTCCGTCTCAAAAAAAAAAAAAAAAAAAATAGTTAGCAACTATTGATGCTACAATGGGCAGTCATTCCCAGATTACTCATTGCCTTTTAATCTCAGACTGGGTGTTCCAAAACCACACACTCAGGTTTTCCTCCCTGAGGACAAGGCCTGCTCTCTATACAACATTTGACTAAAAGATGTTGAAACTCCCCTCAAGCAGCTACACCAAGTATGTACCCAATGCCAAGACTCACATTTCTGAGAAGGCTCAGCTTCCTCAAATGTAAAACAGGGATCCATATCCTAATGGCAGCTTTGGCTTCCATGCAGGCTGTCATGAGGATCCAAGGAGACAAGAATTGCTGGGTACTGGCATATTCTGTGACTGTGTGGCAGAAGCATGCGTTCCCTCCTTACCAAGTACACCACCGAACAGGGACCTCTCACAGCTTTAAAAAACTGTTTGGAACCATGTAGAAGGCAAGACATCTCAGGATAATTTAAAACTACATGTAAGAGTTTGGAATTTACAAAAGACTCTTGGCTCAGAATAAAGCACCACCTTACTGGCCAAAGAAAATACAGTTTTTGGCTCTTTTGTGAACTGCCCTATGTTTCATGCTAGGTTTGGAGACTGCTGGGTTATTAGACTATCTCCTTAGAGCATTGTCAGGTGAGGCCACTGCTGACAGGACGAAGCAAACCAAAGCAACTTAGCACCCCCTGCTCCATTTGTTAATATGTGTGTTCTCTTCACTTCACCTAAGGAAATTTAGCTGCCACCAATTGTGTGGAGAGTGATATGTTAGAAAAGAATGAACAAACCAGCTTGTTGGAAATTGAACTGGTTACTTACAAATTAGGTTGGCTGTGCCTTAAAGTCAAGCCAAAGGAGCACAGAAATAGAACAAAGGAACAGAGAAATAGATATGCAAATTTCTAGGAACCATGAGGTTACTGTGGACTGAGCACTATATTTGGCTTTTGGGATGCTAAAGGGGAGAGGCAGAGACTGGTGCAGGATGCTCTCTGCCCAGCTAGAATACATCCTGAGCCACTTTCCCCACTCCTACACTGATGACCTGAAACGGTCAGCAATGTCCACAATGGTGGGACCACAAGCCCTCCTCTACCTGTGGTTCTTGCACAGAACTTAGTGTTTCTTAGTTTATAAACAATGCTAGCAAAACTAATTGCTAAATTCATACTCATTTTAAAAAGGTAAATTGCAAGACAAAAAGGAGACTACAATTCTCATACTGGTAAACACACTGTTAGCAGTGAGAAAGTAAATCTGACATCAAGGGAAGAGACAAAAAAAAAAACAGCAATTTTAAAGTGTAGACAGAAACTCAAAAGCATCTGTCTGCTCTCATGTATCTGTCCTTTCTTGTTAGTTCTCAGCAACTCCATTTTAGGAGTTGCTCTAACAGAAGAACATAATAATCATGTGTAGCACGCAGACTCTGAGATGTCCACCAATGTTCTTCACTTCCTGGTATTTGTGCCCTTCTGTAATCCCCTCCACTTTACTGTGGGATGGACCTCATGATTTGCATCTGATGAGGAGAGTACCACAGAAGCAATGGGATGTCACTCCTAAAATTAGATTATAAAAAGCCTGTGATTTTAATCTTAAGCATCTTCTCTACAATTCCTCACTCAGATGGAAGCCAGCTACCATACTGTGAGCTACCCTGTGGATAGGTGCACATGGCAAGGATGGAGGGAGATCTCCAGACCCCACCCAGAGAGGAAATGAATCCTGCCAGTCCCCTGAGTAGTCTTGGAAATGGATCCTCTCTCAGTTGAGCCTTCAGATGAGACTCCAGCCCCGGCTGACACCTTGATTACATGTTTGTGAAAGACTCTGAAACAAAGAACCCAGCTAAGCCATGCCTGGATTCCTGACCCACACAAACTGTGAGATAATGATTATTGCTTTAATAAGACACTATGTTTTGGGGGTAATTTGTTATATAGTATTGCATAAATAGTGTGCCTGAAGAATCAGGCAGTCAAAGCCTCATGGTGGCGGCGGTGGGGGACCTTGCTCTTCCACTTAGCCTATGTAAACACCTTGATTTTCCATGAAGGTTAACTTATCTTTGAGGGTCTATCTGCAAGGCCCACCTAAGAGCCAAGGCTCTAAACTCACCCAGTCACATGGCACTTTTTGGGTACCAGTAAATATGCTAAAATTTTGTTTGCCCTGGGCCAAGCCAATTCTGTGGCTGTGATGGAGTTGCTTATCACAGCCTTCCTCAGTGTCAGGCTCTGAAGATGCAAGTGATTCTTGCAGAACATCTTTCATCACTAATTTGCTTAGCTAACATATACTGAGCCCTTGACAACAAGGAGCCCACGGTGGAGACAGCAAGGCAGACATACAACAAATAATTACAATGAAATGATGTAGGGAATCAGGTAAACAACTGTGATATAAACTCTAAAGGTGTAACTGCCAAGGAAAGAAATGTGGTGTGAAAAAGAAAGAAGCAATTAACAGGTGTGTAGGTCTGGGGAGATGCCATGAATGAGATGTCGTCTGAGCTAGATACTGAAAAAGAAGGCAGCTGACAAGTAAGAAAGTAGAACAATGGCATACCAAACAGAAAATCACTTGAAGGAGAGCTCAGAGGCACAAGGTGATCTATGAACACCCATACTCCAATGTGACCAAAGCATGTGGTTTCTAAAGGGGTGAAGAGGAATACAACCATGGAAGGCCTTGAACTTCATGTAGTAAACAGAGCCAGTACTGCAGGAGACGAATCACTTGGGAGGCCAACTTAGTAGGTAGATTGGAGTAGGTGTATTCTAGGTGGGAGATGAGGAAAGCTAAATGGGGGCAGTGCTGACACTTGATGATACTAGTGGAAAGGAAAAAAGGGAGTAGAGCAAAAATATAGAAACAGTCTTAGAGCAAGAGCTAGTAACTTTAGACTTATGTCCATACAAATAATTATCAGAATAAAAGAGGCATTCCATTGTGGTGTTTAAAATTGCTTTATTATTTTTGTTTTCAATGGAAAAACTGGAAGATATGGCCTTGATTCTGAAGATCCTCTTCAAGTAGCAAGAGACTTACCTTTTCCAGTCTCATTCTCAAGACAGTGATTAAAAAACCCCTTCCTCCCTCCAGAAAATAAATTGTTGGACTTGTTACAGACATACAGAGCAGAAAGCAGAAAGTCTGTGGAATGCCCTGTAGGTCAGCCCCTGGGCTAGGAAGCACTGTAAGGAAAGTTTAGTACTCACCATGTCCTGGATAGAGAGAGGACCAAGGCTGTTGACAGAGATCTCAACAGTGACCACAGTGGCCTTTTCTGTAAGGGAAGCAGAAGCAGCAGAGGGTAAGTATTAAAAAAGGTTATGGGACAGGGGAGGAAGTGGTCAGAGGGGATGAAGGGGGAGTCAAGTAAGTGTTGGACCACACAGTTTCAGTGTCCAATCTTATTTCTTTATTTGTTCTTCCACGGCAAAACGCAGCTCATGGACTGTTAAGAATTGAACATACATCTTGAAGATCAACAACCTAGTTTAGTCCTCTCACTTTACGGTTGGAAAAACTGAAGGCGAGAGAAGGGAAAAGTCTTAATCAAGGTCAATGACACTGCTGAGACTAGAGTTAATATCTCTTACCCAACAGGTCAACATCGGATGCTCCTGTTCATGTGCATGGCACCCTCTTTTATAGCCCAGGTCCATTCTCCATGCCTATACCTTCAACCCCTGGACCCTCCAGGAGGGAAAGGACTTTGTTCTGCTACTCACCTCCAATGCCAGGGCGCAGTTTGTGGTCATAATTATTCAGGATAGTGTTCAGGATGCGAGAGGCTTGTGGCAGTTTGCCCACTCTGCGCCTAGTCTCAGTCTTAGTTGACTGTGCTTTCTCAGAGAGAAGCTTATTTTCCAGAAGCTGGGGCAGGGGGCCATAGACGACATCATGTGCAGAGCCTTCATCATTTGATTCAGTCTGAGGTCCCTCGACCCTAGAACATACAAATGAAAAATGAAGCTCTGCCCTGCACTCTGTAGGGGCCCCAGCTGGTGCCTCTTGGGACAGAGGCAAAGCAAAATAAGTTTTCAACACTAAGCTTGATTAAATTGTGACTGGTAAAAGCAAATGATAAGAGAGTGACAGAAAAGGCTTGTGAATTTCTTTTAAATCTTGCTTGTCTTTGGGGACTTTCTATGTTGTCCATCTTTTATGATAACTCTTTTATTATTAAAAAAAAATCAACAAAACTAAGACCTAGATTTTAAAAGAATGTTCCACATGAAATGAAGACGGCATTTGTGTGTGAGCGCTGGCCCACTGTGACTAGCCTTGGCCTCTAGTCAGCCTGACCAGCACCACCTGGGAGTGAGGAGCAGGCAGAGGGCCAGGGCTGAGAGGAATGCTTGCGAAAGCCAGAACAGCCTCTCCCAGAAAGGACCAGAAAATTGCGGGAATATTTTGCAGTTTTGTGGTTGTGTAATACTCGTTGCACTGGGGGCGGGGGGAGGGGGAGAAGGGAAGGAGGCTAAAGAGCAGCCTTTGTGGGTATCTAAGCAGGAAAGGCAGGAGTCCTCCACCCAGAGACAGCCATCCAGGAACTGGCTGCCCAACAGAAGTCCACCCTGAGTTCCACAGCCATGCACCACAGCCAAGAAAAAGAAGAGGATTAGTAAGACCAAGTGAATTAAACAAAAATGTTAAAGCCCGTCTGCCAAGGTATGAAACTCACCGATAGTGTTAGAAGTCCGGATAGTGCTGCCTTTGCTGGGAGGCAGTGACAAAGGGGGCTTCTGAGGTCCTGCTCACGTTCAGGTCCTTGATTTGGCTTTCTTTACACCGCTGTGTTCATACTCTGACAACTCATCAGCTGTACGCTTATGATTTGAGCCCTTTTCTGTATACATGTTCTAATTCTATAAAAAGTGTTTAAAAAATCAAAATGCCCCACCTACTAATATCTGGATCTTGTTTTATTGAAAAGAAAACTCTTAAAAAACAAACAGAAATCATTTATGACACAATAGGAGAGATTTGAACACTGAGTGGATAGTTGAGGCATGAATAAATTATTCTTAAATTTTCTGTATAATTATCGTATTTTCTTATGTTTGTGAAATCATTAATGACTACAAATACATGTTTAAACAATAACATATAAAATGATATGATGTCTGAGATATGCTTCAAGGCAATCTAAGTCAGAATTGCAGGGTGGGTAGGGTAAAAGAAAATAAGAGTGGTCATAAGTTCACAAACAATGGGGCTGGTGATGGCTACATGGAGATTCCATATACTGTTCCCTCTATCTTTATATATCTTTGAAAAAATTATAATTAAAAGTCTTTTTAAAAGCCAACATCCCATATTAATCTGATATTGGAAGGCAGGAGAGTGGTTTCCGTTGGGGAAGAAAGTGTATGCGGACAGGCATTTTGGAGATGCGCGTGTGTGTGCGCGCGCGCGCGCGCGTGTGTGTGTGTGTGTGTGTGTGTGTGTGTGGCGAGAGGGTTGCAATGCTCTATTTCCTGATCTAGGTGTTGGTTACATGGGCCTGTTTACTTTGTGAAAATCCACTGAGCTGTTCACTCATGAGGTCTATGCTTTTATATTGGCATGTCAATTCAACAATGATTTTTTTTAAGCCGTAAGGCAATTTGCTTCCTAAAATAATGGGTAAACAGGGCAAGAGACGTTGGCATGACCCCTGTATTGCAGACCAAGGGACTGCCAACTTGAGCAGCAAAATGCATTTTTCTGCAGTATTTTAAGCTGTTAGAATTGCTTGAGTGGCATGCAGATGTGCCAAATCCACACCATTTCTCATATATGAAGTGGTTACTTCGCATTGTGCACTAGGGAAGAACTGGGCTTGAAAAATACAGTTTTTACTTTCAAATGCCGTATCTAGAAGATGTCCTCTTTCCCTGAGGCCAAACTCTCAGTCCTCTCAAGAGATAAGAGCCAGAGACTATGTGAAGAGAGGAGGGAAAATGGAGACCTGAGACCCTGCAAAATGAGTGATGTGGCTGGTAACATGGCACAGTCAGAATCAGCAGTCAATGGGAGGCTGAGCACTGTCAGCCAGGACCAGCTAAAAGCCTGAAGTGGCCCCTCCCAAATGTCTGAAATCCATGGACAAGATCACCCCTGTCCCTTCCCAGGTTTAAAAGTGCAGAGGCAAACAAATAAATTCGAAAGCACTGGGACCACCAAAGCCGTCCTGCCCCTAGACTAGGTCTGCAGTGAAAATGATATCAGAGGGTCATAATGTGGCTTTCGTCTAAAATTAGGGCTAGAAAGAATAAAAACTTGAAAAACACTCATACATTGGAATAGTGGGATTTTCCAGGCATTAACGTCTCCAGACATAATGGTCCACAATGAAGTTGAATCTCTGCACTACCCCTTCCCCAACAGTTGACTGGTGGCGGTGGTTGGGGGGGCATAAGAAGAGATGTTAGATTTATTTCCGAAATCAGATCTCTTTTCCATCCTACAGATGGAGAAACTGAAGCCCAGATAGAAGAACGACTGTGCCCAAAGTCACACAACTGATTTGAGGCTGAGCCTGGACCAGAGTCAGATACCCTGGTTCAGTGTGGCCCAGCAAACCCCATTGTCACCTCCTCAGGTCTTTCCTGACACCACAGGCTGCTGTGCTTGAAGAGTAGTTTCCATTTCCCCAGCCCCTTTTTCCTGCTGTTTTCCTCTCTGACCACCACTCTCTTCTTATTTCCCTCACCCCAGCGCCATCTTTTGCCCTAACCAGTCACCGTGTCAGCTTTCTCAACTAGTCGAAATCCCATTTGGAGAGATGTGGACGACTGGAAATTGCTAGCACGCATAAAAAAACATTTACCAAGTCTCTGCAGAGGCTAGTCTCACTCCAGAACACTAGTGAGACAGCAGGGAGCCACAGAAGCCACTCCCCACTCCCCACAACGAATAAAGAAGACACAAGCTCAGTGCCATGGAAACTTCCATAAAGCTCCACAGATCAGGAAGCTTGCAAACTTGTGACACTTCACACTCAGAAGGAACCATCTCAAAACAAAAACAACAACAAGAAGGAAGCCGTCATCTTCCACCCCCAAAAGCCAGAAATCCAGGGGACAATCTTCCTACCAAGTCCCAGGGCCAGGAGAAGGGGTGAGGGAAGCTGGTTGTTCAAGGGAAACCTGAAAATGGAGAAGGGCATTGAAATCTAGGACCCAAACCACAGACGTTAGAGGAGAGTAAGATGCCTGGCCTCTGGTTCCAGTGGGGCCAAGGCCCAGCAGGGTATCTAGGAATAAGTTAAGTTAGCGGGAAGCTATCAGCGGTGGGGAGAGGGGTATAGCTGGTGCGGGAACCCTTAAGACTAAACCAAAGCTCTTGCGTGGTACGGGCACCAAGAGGAGCAGCGAAATGGGAAGCAAGTAAAGTCAGAGTTGCCTGGCGCAGTGCCTGGTACTCAGTAGGCACTATTAAAAAAATGTGAGCAGGAGAGAACAGACGACGCAATACTCACACATTTCTGGCGCAATTAAGTTCCCTCAGCCGCTAACCCCCTTCTCAAAATGCACCCCCGGACCCCAGTAGCTGGATCCTGCCCTGGCCAGTCACGCGGGGGCCGCTCCCCTCTTACTGCACAAGACTCCGAAAAGGAGTGCTTGTCACCCAGCCACCGCAGTGCTTCTGTGAGCGGGAGTCCGAGAACTGGAGTCCAGTCTTCCTTTAGTGGCTCCCCTTCAACGACCCCGGGAGCCCAGCCTAGAGGGAACCGGGCGTAGACTAGCGCGCATCGAGGGGACGCGGACTTGGCCAGCCCGCGCTCCGGCTGGGGGGCCAGGCGGGCGCGGGGCTCGAAGAACGCGGGCGGGGGGGGGGTCCCGGGAGCCGTCCCTGCTCCCAGGGAGAAGAAGCTGGGCGCGAAGGGCTCCCGGGACCGGGATGGAGACTCACCTTGACTGGAGGATCAATAAGATGGCGAGGAGGACTGGAAGAACTTTGGGCAACATTTTGGCAGAGACCGGAGCGACCACCTGTACCGGAGGTCGCGGCTCAAGGTCTGGCCGCACTGAGCGCGGCGTGGAGGGTTTTGCTGGGCTTCAACTTTCACTCCTCCCACTCGCCCCGCCCCGCCGCGCTCTCTCCGCCCCATGCCCGCCCCCAGCCCCGATGGAAATCTCCGACGACGTGACGGCTGCAGCGGTGGGGAGCGGCGGATGATCGCGCGGGCGCGGGGAGGAGGCTGGAGCCCTGTCGCCTAGGCCCCGAGTCCCCCCGCCGCCACGACTGCGGCGCTGCCAGACAGCCACGGGCGGGTGAGGAGGAGGGAGAAGGCGGCGAGCCCGCGGCTCGCGGCCTGGGCAGAGGAAACTCAGGGCCCCAGGCTGTGGCCCGCAGGGAGCTGCTTCAGAAACAAGATGAGGACTGGGTGGGCTTATGCACCACGGGCGACCCCTTCCTGCTCGCTGATGCGCCGCGGGGTTAAAATGTGCTCTCTAGCTGTGGCTTCCTCACCACCACCTGTTGCACCCCATTGCTCCCCCAAGTCTCCTGGCCTCATGTAGCTGCCTCTGGTTTTCCTAGCTCTCAGTCCACAACCTCCAGTCCTTCGGAATACAAATCTTGTTACATGAAGGAGGCTGGGTAGCTCAGCACCTTCCTTGGCACAGGGAAGAAGAGAGATAGGGGTTTCCCTAGCAATCTCTGATCTGAGGTACTCCACAGGCCAAATTCCCAGGTATTTGGGTACAGGGAGGACCCACCAACAGAGAACCAGGCAGAGACACTCCCTGTAAAATTTTCTCTGAACCCCAGTGGGGCACTGCTACAATGTGGCTCCAGCTTTGGCCCCAGAAGCTGAGTGTAAGAGGGACCACATGGAATAGAGGAGGCTTTGGAAACCTCCTGAGACTGGATGGCCAAATCTTTCTGGACACTTGGCACCACATGATACCAGAAGACATGTGAAGGCACGAATGGGGAAGGCGTAGTGCCCCTCTTCAGGCGGGACATGTCAAGAGTCTCACACATACTTGGACTTCATCTTCTTTTACCTAGACCCTTCTGATTTGCTTCAGGAGGAAAAGTAATGGCAAAAATTTAGGTACCAAGCTGATGCCAGACACTAGCAGCTTCCTCACCTGTTGCTCTAGAAAAAATAAATAATAAATAAAAACTTCAGGCTTAATAGTCTCAGCATTATATTTTTGTGCTACTTGTAAATGGACAGCTGCAACACAACTCCATTTGTTATGGCTCTACAGGATAATTGTGTAGGGGCATCCACCCATGGGACAGAGCTGTGAGCTTACATTTAGTTTTTCACTCTTAAAAAAACAGGGCTGTGTACATCCTTGAAGAGGCTTAGCTCTACCACAGTCATCTAAAGCACCCTCTCTATCCCCCCACCCCCACAAGCACATCACTCTGCTTTGTTCTCTTCACGACATTGCTCATGCACTGATGATTTTCTTCATCATTTTTAATGAGCTTATGTATAGTAGGTCTCTGCAACTGAAGTAAGCTCAGTGACAAACACACACATGTATACACATAAAATTTGTCTCTTGGAATCTTCACTGTATCCCTAAGTCTTAGTAGAGCCCTGAGCACACAGTAGGCACTCAACCAAATGTGTCACTGATTTGCATGAAGCTGTATGTGTCCTCCTACCACTGAGTCAGTTCACTAGGACCTGGGGCTGCCTTCAGACTCCGATGCAAGAGAGAAGAGACTGAAGAGCACGTTTAGGCTTGCACAGCCCCTCATTGCCCCCCTTCTCCCCCACAGACAGAAGAGCCCCATACTTTCTTTAATGCTTTACTGCTGAAATGTTTAACAATTTTTGAACAAGTAGCCCTGCATTTTTCTTTTGTCCTGGGCCCTACAAATTACGTAGCCAGTTTTGCCCCAGGGAGAAATGCCGCAGAGCAGGGAACAGGCAAACACATGGCTTTCCTGAGCCCATAAGGAAGACAACGCTGCCAGTCCATCTGCTTGCTGTCCTGTCCGACGCCAGCTGCTATAGAAAGGGGCATGTCTGCCCTTACTGTAGCCAACCTGGGATTTGAAGTGTCCTATATGCATGTATCTTCCTCCACTGACATTGGAACTCCAGGAAATGAAGGTTTGTCCGATTTACCTGTATTCCCCTGGGTTGAGCACAGTACCCAATGACCAGTAGGCATTAAGTACATTTGCTGAATGAGTGACTGAATCCCAGGCAGCTACAAGGAAGCGAGTGATTATAGCTCCCTCGTCAGAGATTCCCAGGCACTTTGCTCTTACAGGTTGATATTAATCATATTTGCCATCTTCCTTATAAACCTCATAGATGGGATAGCTCATCCATAGGATAGCTGTGAGGACTTGTGAAGGCTACAGAATGTTATTATTGTTTTGTAGTTTTCCAAGTATTTGCCACATGCTTCTCTAGGTCAGATGATGTCTTCGCCCTTACATATGTTTTTCAAGAGAGGAATGGGAACTTGTAGTAAAATTACTAAAAAAAATGCTAATTTTTTTAACATTGCTAACACAAGGTACAAAGTCATGAGGTCCCCAGAGTTCCCAAGAAAATACTTACGTGGTCCCAAGCCTCTCAAAGCAAGAAGGGGATGTTATAGGCAGCAGAGATGCAGAAATGGGCATTCCAAGTTGAGAGCCAGCCAGGCTGTTGTAACCAGATATGTGTGGTGTTTGACAGAGAACAAGGAGGAGATTGCCTGAGGCATTTGTGAAGAGCAATTGTTGGAGATAAAGCTGGAGTGGGAGGCTGGACAGGCAATTGCACTTTATCCTGTAGGCAACAGGGGAGTTACAAACGAGTGCCAAAAGGAGCATTTCATGTCCGAATGCTGTTTCAAAAGATCCCTCTGGTGGGGGGTAGGCAGGAGAGTTTGCAGGATGGAGAGCTGGAGTCTCTTTTCTTTCAGTGAACAGAAGCAGAGCCACAGGGATGGTCAGAAGAGGAGCCACAGGAGGGAGCAACATCTAAGATGTGGAATTGACAGATGGAGTTGGAGTCAGGGAGGAGGCAATGGAGGGAGGGTTGCTAAGGCTCACAGGGTCTTCCCAGGTGACTGTGGTGGCAGAACAGAAATAAGGAAGGCAGGAGGAAGAGAAAGAGCTTTTAGTTACAGCCGTGATAGCAGCTCCTTTCATTTTGTGTTTCACTTTCTAAAGTTCCATTAGAAATAAACATTCTCATTTAATGTCTAGGTATGTGTATGTGTCTGCATGCATGTGTGTGGGTGCATATCCCTCTCTCTGGCTGTTTGTATTTCAGATGTGCTTCTCCTCAACTTTATAATCACTGAATATAAACAAAACTGTATTTTAATAACTAAACAAAACTACCCGTTGATCGCAATAGCAGTGAGCAAACCCCTTGTCAGTTGTGAATTATCAAATTAAATAACCAACATCAAACCACCATGTGACTTTCTATATGTGTGGTTTAGTGACAAAATCAGAGCTGCTGGTCATAAAGTCTGTGTGTTCCTTCCCTAGCATGGCCCAAACTATAGCACATGCACACATGCTTTTCTTATTAGGTCAAGGAAAAACACCAGCCCAGGCAAGTCTTACATAGCTCTTAGCTTGTTAAATACCTGGGCTTACAGCAAGACTGAGATGATAGGGACACTGTGGAAGGCAAACTAGAGAAAATAACTATGTACAGGGCTAAGCCTAGTGCAGAAGCGGATGAAGGATCAAGCAAGGGACAGCCAGGCTTCAAAGCAGATAGACTAACAGTAGAGGCAGAGGCAGCACAAGGTAGTGACCAAATCTCTGAGCTCCACTGCACACAGGACACAGTTTGATTTTCAGATCATCCCCTAACTACTGGCTAAATGAGTACAAGCAAGTTCCTTACAGCCCCTGAACTTCACATTACTCACTTATAAAATGGAAATTACAATACTTTCCACCTCACGTGGCACCTGTGATGATTCAATGGAACAGACCAGATGAATGTGTGTCACATGGTCAGTACTCAAGAAAACTTACCTGCCATTCTCAACATTACTATTGCTAGCTAATAACTGATAAATGACACTGCAGGCACACCTGATATCCTTAAGGTCTTGAATAGCACCAGGAAATATCTGGCCAAAGAGCAAGACCTCAGCCCTAGAAATACACTGCAAAGCAAGGGCTCATGTACTGAGGAGGTTGAAATGCTGTGGACAAAACAGGATTCTTAGACCTCAGGAAATTGGACCACTGTGAGCACCACAGGCTGGCGGCAGGCTACAAAGGAGAAGAGAGGCATGACTAGGGATGGAGATTGAGGGTCATTGGCACATGGGTGACATTCAAAATCATGGCACTGGATGCAGTCATCCAGGAAGAGATAAACAGGCTTAGGCTTGAGTCCTGAGAGGGGTGTCACAGAAGCCAACACAAGAGAGGGCATTTCTTGTAGGATGGTTGTTTTTACCATGTGCTAATAAGTCAAGAACTAAATAGTGCCCAGTGGCTCACTCAACAGGGAGGTCATTTTTAAGCTTTGGGCAGGGGCTGATCCTCAACACAGAGTTGAGAGGTGCATGAAATGGGCAGGGAAGAGAAAAGAACATATGACTGTAGACAGCTTGCTTGATAAGTGGCTGGAAAGCAGTAAGAACTATGACTGTCTCCCACACCGAATACAGGGAGAGAGGGCCATGTCTGATTCTGAAGGGACCATGTCTGATTCCGCTCTGAGCCTGAGTGTCTTAGAGAGCGAGGGAAAGAGATTTAAAAACAATACCAATAATGCTGGCAACTGGTGCTGGTCAGGAGTTAAGAATGTTGAGATCTGGAAAGTGTCTGCTGTGAGGGATGAATGTGTGAGGAGGATGTGAAGTCAGCAGGTATAGACAACTCCTCAGGAAGCACAACATGAAGGAAGACACAGTGCAACAGCTAGAGGGAGGCAAATATTTGAAGCATTTTGATTTCTGTGTTTTACAGATGCATGAGACAGAAACATCTCTATAGGCTGAGAGGAAGAAGCTAACTGAGGAGGAGAGGGTGGAAAGATTTCATGAAGCAGTTGTGTATTGACAGAACCCAGTGGGGAGAATTGACCACTAGGGG